GAGCTCCTACTGGTCCAAGTACTGAATCAACCCTCAAGAGAATTATTTATCTACTTCTTTCTTAAGAAGGAATGGATTCCATCTCGTGTAATAACATTTCCGGCTACCTATTTTATCATGTCTCCAAAATATAAGGAATAGGATTCAGGATCTCAGAATCCATACCGAGTAAATCAAAAGACACAAATCCATAAATAGGAGTCTGTTAAGAACTCAAGATTAAGATCATTCTATATATGACCATCGGTAGACTCAATTAGAATTTCTATACTTAACGGAAATTATTAGAAATTCATATTGTGTCTGTGTCCTTGTTCCACATAATCTCATTATGCGAAATACACTCATTCAATATCTCACTATATTAACAGTGCGGATAACACCGTTCCATTCTAAATGAGAATGACATGTATTAATAATGTTTTAATTAAAGATTCTAAACTTTAATTAAATTCATTATGAACATTGCTTTTTGATTATTATCGTAAAACATTATTCTCTCTTATATAACACTTATATACAATGTTTAAGGTTACATAAATAATCACGGAATTTTCATTGATATTCATAAAATATTCACAAATATATACACATAAAATGATGAATAAACTCTTTTATTAAATAAATAATAAATATCATATTACATCTTATGCTTCTAGGACACCATTCCCAACAGCTTGAACAAAGAAAGGCTGAAAAGGCACGCAGACAATCAAGCACACATACGACTATTTAAACAACTCCTCTACAATTGATGGAAAACTCCGATCAATTAAGACTAAGAGACCTGTAAACTAAAGGTCACTCCCAACATCGTCGAGAGAAAACTCAAATAGATTGGACTCAAAAATAAACTTGGAAGATGGAAAAACCACCTTTGTACACAACAAAAAATCTAAGAGGTGAACAACACGTCGCCATTATTTGACTCTATCATCTACCACAAAAGGGAGATGATAAACTAGCAACATAGCAAAAACAACTTATTACAAGGTGACTCATGCGGCATAGGGGATCAAGGAGCACAAATTTGTATGAGGCTGGAAACATAGAAGACGAAGCACCACAATCTCGGCGCGTGAAGCCACGCATCACAGCTGCCAGCAACCACACCCAACAGGCGCCATCCATAGAGAGCCGCCGCATCACGGGAAACAAAGCCCCCAACAACACACACCCTCCGGAGGCCGCCTTCGTGTCGCGGTGATGGAACCCGCAACAAAGCAAACACCTAACTCTAATCCAAACCATGACTAGATCCAACTCCTTGCTTTACCTTGATGAGGGGAGCAAAGCCCAATAGATGCATAATCACCAGAGATCCACCACTCTCAAGGAAGAAGGTAGAAA